ACAACACAAGAGATAACTCTACACATGGACATCACCAGATGGTTGATACCGAAATCAGACTGACTATGTTATTTGCAGCCAAAGATGGAGAAGCTCTATAAGGTCAGCAAAAACTAGACCTGAGGCTGACTGTGGCACAGATTATGAGCTCCTTATTGCAAAATTCAGACATAAACTAGAGAAAGTAGGGAAAATCACTAGTCAATTCAGGCATGACCTAAATCAAATCCCTTATGATTATACAGTGGAAGTGACAAATAGATTCAAGGGGTCAGATCTGGTAGACGGAGTGCCTGAAGAATTATGGACAGAGGTTCATAAGATTGTACAGGAGGCAGTGACCAAAACAATCCCAAATAAAAAGAAATGCAAGAGGCAAAGTGGTTGTCTGAGGAGGCCTTACAAATAGTTGAAGAAAGAAAAGAAGCAAAAGGCAAAGAAGAAAGGGAAAGATATACCCAGTAGAATACAGAATTCCAAAGAATAGCAAGGAGAGATGAGAAAGACTTCCTCAGTGAACAATGCAATGAAATAGAAGAAAACAATAGAATGGGAAAGACTAGAGATCTCTTCAAGAAAACAGGAGATACCAAGGGAACATTTCATGCAAAGATGGTGCAATAAAGTATAGAAACAGTATGGACCTAACAGAAGCAGAAGATATTAAGAAGAGATGGCAAGAATACACAGAAGAACTGTACAAAAAAAGTTCTTAAAGAACCAAATAACCATGATGTTGTCTTCATTCACTTAGACCCAGACATCCTGAAGTCTGAATTCAAGTGGGCCTTAGAAAGCATCATTACGAATGAACCTAGTGGAGATAAAGGAATTCCAGCTGATTTATTTAAAATCCTAAAAGATGATGCTGTTACAGGGCTGCACTCAATATGCCAGCAAATTTGGAAAACTCAGCAGTGGCCAAATGACTGGAAAAGGTCAGTTTTCGTTCCAATCCCAAAGATGAGCAATGCTAAATAAAGTTTAAACTACTGCACAGTCATGGTCATTTCACATGCTAGCAAGATTATCCTTAAAATCCTTCAAGTTAGCCTTCAACAGTATGTGAACCAAGAAATTCCAGATGTACAATATTTAGAAAAGGTAGAGGTACCAGAGATCAAATTACCATCATTTGCTGGATCATAGAAAAAGCAAGAGAATTTCAGAAAAAAATCTACTTCTGCTTCATTGACTACATTAAAGCCTTTGACTGTACGAATCATAACGAACTGTGGAGAATTCTTAAAGAGATGGGAATACCAGACCACCTTACTTGTCTCCTGAGAAACATGCATGCAGGTCAAGAAGCAACAATTAGAACCAGACATGAAATAATGGACTGATTCAAAATTGGGAAAGGTGTATGTTGTCACCCTGCTTATTTAACTTATATGCAGAGTATATCATGCAACATGCCAGGCTGGATGACTGCCAATCTGGAATCAAGATTGCTGGGAGAAATATCAACAACCTTAGATAAGAAAGTGATATATCCTAATGGCAGAAAGTGAAGAGGAACTAAAGAGCTTCCTGATGAAGGTGAAAGATGAGAGTGAAAAAGCTGGCTCAAAACACAACATTCAAAAAACTAAGCTCATGGTATCTGATCCCATCACTTCATGCAAATAGATGGGGAAAAAGTAGAAAAAGTAGCAGATTTTATTTTCTTGTGCTTCTAAATCACTGTGGATGGTGACTGCAGCCATGAAATTAACAGATGCTTGCTCCTTGGAAGAAAAGGTATACAAACCTAGATAGCATATTAAAAAGCTGAGACATTACTTTTCCAACAAAGGTCCATATAATCAAAGCTATGGTTTTTCCTGTTTGTCCTGTACAGATGTGAGAGTTGGACCATAAAGAAGGCTGTGCACTGAAGAACTGATATCTTTGAACTGTGGTGCTGGAGAAGACTCTTAAGAGTCCTTTGGACTTCAAGGAGATCAAGCCAGTCAATCCTAAAGAAATCAAACCTGAGTATTCATTGGAAGGGCTGATGCTGAAACTGAAGCTCCAATACTTTGGCTACCTGATATGATGAGCTGACTCATTAGAAAAGACCCTGTTGCTGGGAAGGAACGAATACAGATGGAGAAGGGGGTGACAGAGGATGAGATGGTTGCATAGCTTCATCAATTCAATGGACATGAGTTTGAGTGAGCTCTGGGAGACAATGAAGGACAGGGAAGCCTGGTATACTGCAGACGATGGGGTGGCAAAGCATCGGACATGACTTAACAACTGTATAACAACAGATATTTAAATGGAGACTGCAACAATGAAGGCCACAGACAAGGATGTAAATTATTAATTGTCAAATTAATCCCAGGGATAGCAGGAATGAGATAAAAGCATGATAGAGAAAAGCACTGGATAATTTATGGTGGAGGACAAGCTACTCAATTTAGTGGCTTAAAGCAATAGTGTTCTTGTATCTCACAATTGTGTGGGACAGGCATTCAGGCTGGGCTCAGCAGAGCAATTATTCTGCTTCAAGGAGCAACATGTGGCACTCATTGGGTCTTGTTTTAGGCTTCAAGAAGGGTCCTGCAAAAATCTAGTACCTATTGACCCTCACGCCGTCTTTCTAAATGGCATCTCATCCTTCCAGGTACTCCATATAGTTTGGGCTTCTCACAGCATGGTGGTCTCAAGGTTGTCACGCTTCTGGCCTGACAGCTGTCTTGTAAGAGAAGGGAGGAAGGAAATGGAGGCTCCTGTGGTCTAGCTACGGAAGCTCACAGAGTTACTTCAGCAACATTCAGCACGTCAACAGGAGCCACAGTGACCACTCAGCCCGAGGACAGGAAGTGCAGGACACTCAGCATACCTCGTGACAGGGACCATGTCAAGGCAGGTGTGGCCTTATTTAATTCACCATGGAGGGAAAGGTTAGTTTGGACCAGAAAGATAAGAAAAAGCTGTATATGGAAGGTAGTATATAAACTGGTTTTAAAGGATATGGATCATTTGAAAAAAAAGGAATGGAAATAAGGGTAAAAAATATTAAGTATGTAAATATAAGACAGGAGTAATGGGGAAAACTTTCAAAATACTTAGCCAAACAAGAATTATATTTCTTCATCAATTTACTTTGCTCTAACAACAAAAGGCAAGTGGGAGTTAGTTTCAGCGTGGCAAGTTACTTTTTCCTGGTCACAGACACATTGATTTGCCTGGGAAGATAATTTTTCTTTAACTGTGGTCAGCTTATTTGAAAAAAGTGAATTTGAGCTTAAGGATATAATAGAGTTAATTGGGGAAGGTAGGTCGAGTACATTTTGTTTTGAGAAGTGTTTACTGTTAGAACTCTCCAAAGGCCTAGGGAAACATTTGCAGATAGTCTTGAGACAGGATGCAGGGCAGCAAGACAAGGATGTTATTTAGCAAACAATGATCTGGCAGTTCAGATTTAGGAAGTCTGCTCAAGGTCCTAAGACGGTAATGGTGATACGTGTTTAGCCCTTGGGTCTCTCATAAGGTTTCCTTCAGAAAGGTTTAATCATTATAGCCACAATTTTCTGACTGAGAAGAGGGATTCCTTAGGTTTGTAGTTCACAGATAAATAGCTCTCTAGATTACTGTGCGTGCAGTACATGTATGGAACACAGTGCCTGGTACTTGGTAGCTGTTTAACACTGCTTAACAAATTGTATTACTCATCTTCTCTGTCTTCAAATTTAGATAACCTACCTTTTCCCTCAAAGTTTTGTCTATGTAATAAGCTGGAAACAGGAGTATTTTTATAATACACACCAACTAAAAATTAGTCATTCCTGTAGGAGGGGAGCATAGCTCTTGTTTAGCGCTTCACTTTTCAAAACGTGGATCTAACATTTTCTTTCAATTTTTTTTTTTTGGCACTGATAAATTTTGAATTCATGACTATCAAGCTTAACATTGGAAAGACAAAGGGAGAGGGAACAAAGCTCATGAAAAATACTTTAAAATGTATCTTTTAACGTATTATAACATCTTGGAGAATTATCACATCTTACTGCTCTTTTATGTTGTGAAAACTACTCTTTGTATATTTAGTCATTTTTAGCCTTATCCCCACTCCATTTTTTTTTTTCAAAGATCCATAGCCTTCATCCTCCTCCTCAGATAAAGCAGTAGCTTTTAGTTGTTTTATTTCATTGGGAGCACTGAAAAATTCCAAGCTACAGTAAGCAAGGGATAACAGTAGTGTCAGAGTTTGACAAAGGTCAACAGGCTTGTGCATTTTACACAGTTGTCTGCTTTCGATAGTTTTGTTTCTGGAGCTCTGGGTGGCTTCTCAGAAACTGCTAGGCTAAGCAAACGAAAGGAAAACATACACTGGGACACCCTGAGACTCTGAAAGCTTAATCTAGAGCGAACTGGTTAAGCCTTCAGAGAACAGAGCCGAGCCTGTGTACGACTGATAGGCAGAGCAAAGACTGATTAGCCCAGGATGCAGGGCGGAGGGACACTGCCTTCCACCAGCGTGTACAGAAGCCTCCTTACTAACACAGGATGGCCGGGCTGAAGAAATGTTTTCCATCCTCATTACCACTAAAGTAAATAAGTGAACCTTGGTTTATATGAGCTGCAGAGATGTGTGCACCTCTGCGCATATAGTGTGCTGATGAATCTATAGATATTAAGGGTTTGGCTCTCTCTCTCCCCGAGGAGATGGGCTAGGCGTCGCCTGCCAGCGTCTTTTGCAATCTCCCTCCCTGACCTGCCCGGCGGAGAGGACGGAGGCGGGGGTGACCACCGCACATCCGGGCGCTCCTGTAGGCGGCAGCGCGCTGCTTAACTGATGGAGAGCCGGCCGGTCCTGCGGGTCGGCTGCGGGCGGGCGCGGCGCGAGTGTCTTAGCGTAGGAGGGCAGGGCGGCCGGCCCCTCCCACCCCGCCTTTTCTCGAGTGTCCATACCCGGGCTGGCAGCCGGCGCCGGGCTGCGGGCCAGTGTGCGCGGCGACACCGAAGGCGGTTGGGTGTACGAGGACCGCGGCTGACCTGTTGGCGTCATGCGCGCCCTCCAGGGTCTGCGGGGGCCCCGGGCGCCGGCCCTGCCGCTGCTCCTGCTCTGCTTCCTCGCCGCGGTGCGCCGGAGCTTGGAGGACGGCCTTTCCACAGGTGTGATGGTTGCAGGGCCAAGGGGCGGGCGGAGAGCGCGCGGGCGTCGGGAGGCAGAGGTCCCGGGATGCTGGCGGCCGCGGGTGGGGGCGACGGCCGCCTCCGCCTATGGGCCACGCGTGGGCTATCGAAACCTGCCGGGAGGCTGGGGCGCCCCGCGGCACGGGGACGTGGGTAGTAGGGCAGTGTTTGTGTGTTTCTAGGAGAGGGCGTGAGGTTGCGGGTGGGAGCAAGGCAGCGACTTGGCCTGTCTGAACTGGCAGGATTTCTGAAAGACACGTTTTCCAAGGCCACCTCCCTTCACTTGAATCGATGCGTGTGTGCTCAGTCGCGATAGTGAGGCTTAAATATCACCTCCTCCTTCCTGGCAGGCGGGTTGGCTTTGAGGATGTTTTTTAGAGCTGAGTTTAAATAACAACACAACACAGCCAACCATCCAACTAACCAAACAAAGCCCCACGACAGGAGGATTATGTGAGTGTGTATCTGCTTTTACACCTTGGTCTTTGAAAACGAAAGACTGTAGGTTTTTCGTTTGTTTATTTTTGTTTTTCTGGTTGTGTAAGACACTTTGAAAGAGGGATTTTTGGTGCAAAGCATCACCAGATTTGCCCATTTTCGCTTCACCTGTTTATAATTTTTATGATTAAAGTATTTCATCTCACGTACTTTCTAATGCAAGTTTCTGTGTTATAAATTTCAGAGTATTACCTGCTAATTAGGATAGTAGATCACCTCTAGCTTGGCAAATATTGCCCACCAGTAACTCAAGTCAGTATCTTACTCTACACAAGGTTTTGAACGTTTCATAGGAATTCATTTTTATGAGCTTATAGCATGTAGACTTGTAACATATTTTAAAATGGAAAGATAATCAAATAATAAGATTGTTTATTTTAAAATAAATGCAGTTTAACAGGTCTAGCTGTTAACTACTTGGACAAAACGTCTTGGGTTGCCTCAGTTTCGAAATTTCCTTGCCCCACTTTCTCATTCATACCATTTATAAAGAATGGCCAAGAACATTTTTTTTTCCACCCTGGGGCTATCACGCATTCACGTGTCATTCACCTGAGAGTATTGCACTTCTGAGGACCAATGCATCTTAGGTATGTGCTAGAACTTGGTTTCTCAACTTGACTGTATGTTCGAATTACTAGTGAGCATTAAAAATACTGATATGGTGAATCCTGCCTTAAAAATTCTGATTCAGTTGTCCTGGGATTCAGTCTAGATGTGAGGAGGTTTAAAATCTCCCATGTGATTTTTATCATATGATCCTAAGCAGGTTGAAAACCACTGCTTTAAAATGATACAACCTAAACAGTGCACTGTTAGATAGGTATTCCATTGGTATCAGGAACCTAGAGAGTGCACTGTTAGATAGGTATTCCATCGGTATCAGGGAGTCAGGTTTAAATTGATGCTTGAGTAGACTTCTAAAGAGAAAAAAGTAGGAAACAAATGAAGGTGGAATAAATTAACAAATGAATCTTAAATAGAATGATGTACGCTATGTATGTTACGTCGAATGTCTGTGTATATATGTAGTGTAAGTCCTGAACTTTTAACTGCCACTTAAAGCTAAAGTTATGGAAGAATGTGACATATAAAAAAACATGAGGTTAGCATCTCATTTCAAGGGAGAATTAACAATTGTCAGGCAGCCTCATCTCACTTTATAGATGCTGTATCGAACTTGATGAGATTCAGTTTCCTCTTTGCTAAAGACCATTGTGAAGTTTACTCCCCCCCCCTTTTTTTTTTTAACCTAGGTGCTTTGAACTACTTGAAAAGAGATGTTCTATAAACCTAAGATTTGGGGCCAAATTTGAAAATAAAAATAGTTATTGTATTTTTTTATCATAAATGTATCATATTACTATGTAACAACTGTATGCCAGACATTGCACTATGTAGTTTATAGCTCTATGGGTTAGTTTTTATTATTCCTCACTTTCAGATGAGGAAATTGGAATTTAAAGAGCTAAATAGTTGCCCAAGTACACATAATTAGTTAAGCAGTAGAGCAGGAAGTTTAGCATTGTTCAATCTGACTCCCAATACTGTTTTCTTACACACAGTACTTACTTGTCTCTCTGGAGTGGGTGTGTATGTGTATGAAAGTTTGGAATCACTGACCGCAGAGTGCGTAGATATAAATACTTTATTTACATATGGACTGAAGGGCATGCTGACTCAGTCTACAGTCCTAGAATAGTTCGGCACAAGGACTCACCTTAACTCTTAGGCTATTTCTTAATTAAGAAATGTAAAATAGCTTTATTGAAGGAGGAATATTACATAAGTGGGAATATTTAAATACCACTATTACTCTTTGGGGAGGGGAACAAATTGAAGGAAAGAGCCATGCTTATCTAGTGAAAAATGTTGCAGGGGAATCATTTGAAGTGATCATTTTTAACCTCTAGATGATGTTGCTTACATGCTTCCTTGGTCAATGCTCCCTTCTTTTCAAGAGACACACAGAGCAACTGCCCAGTAATAAATACTCATTGCCATAGATATTATTCAAGCACCTACATATGCCTGACATTGCTGGTCTGTATCTAAGTATAAAACCTTAGCTGTTTTTACTTTTCATAGTGTTTAAACTTTAAAGGAACAGATTAGCTATAAGCCTGTCTTTAATAGGGTTGTATCTGATGGATCAAAATTTTGACCCTAAATTGTTACATTTACAATTATATTATATACACATTGTTCAGCTGGTTCTTCCTCTTCCCCGTCTTTTGTCCCACCTTCCGTCCCTTCTGGGAAGCAGGCCTAGTAGCCATTAGGTGGGGAAAAGCAGGAATCATCCCCCTTGGTGAAGAGAACCTGAGGATTCAGGTCAGGGCCTTAGAGCTAAGCCAGTCAGGATGGCCTCCAGGTAGAAGAGCCGCCCAGTGTGAAGTGTTAGAGCCTCAGCTCAGGAGGTGGCTGTTGGTGCAGAAAGCTGGTGCCAGACCTCAAGCTTTAGAAGCAAGGGCTTCTAAACAGCCACGACCTGGGGGTCTGATCCTGACCATGGGATGGAGGTCAAGTATGCAGGAGCTGACAGGGCTGGACACTGGAGCCTGAGTGGGTGAGGAAGACACTTCTTGGAGCTATGAGTGGCAGCGGCAGTGGTAGACTAGATAAAGTGAAGTTGGCAAGGATAATAGAACCCAGGTTTTCCTCTAGAGAAGAAGGAAATCAACAGGGAAAACTAAAATGAATCTTGTGGTGTTAGATTGCAACTGGCAGCATTAGTGTGAAGTTGTGACTTTAAATATCTATTTGTATCTCTTATGTCTCTCTCTATATCTATATAAATGGTTGCATCGATATGAACATGTTTGTATAAATATATGTATAATGCATATGCATGCGTGCATGCTAAGTCACTTCAGTTGTGTCCAGCCCTTTGTGACCCTGTGGACTGTAGCCCACCAGGCTCCTCTGTCCCTGGGATTCTCCAGGCAAGAATACTGGAGTGGATTGCCATGCCCTCGTCCATGGGATCTTCCCAACCCAGGGATCAAACCTGCATCTCATGCATTGGCAGGCAGGTTCTTTACTACTAGCACCACCTGGGAAACCCATATAATGCATATATATGTCATATATATTTACAGGTGACCACTGAACAACACAGCTTAATCTGTGTATAATTTATAGTCAGCCTTCTGTATCAGTGTGGTTCCTTTGCATCCGAGGATTGAATCAACTATGGACCACATAGTAATCTATTTTTTACTACTGAAGAGATATGTGCAGACATGGATCCTTAAAGTTTGAATCTTCATTGTTCATGGCCAACTGTATATATATTATGCCCGTTACATATAGGTGTATATAAATATGTTATGCATCTGTGTGTATGAATATGCACAATGTATTCTTAGCTCTGTTCAGTGAAATGGAGCAAAGACTTTCCCATAGTGATGAGCATACTTAGCACCCAAATCTTGATTCTGAATACATTTCTTCCTAATAATAACTAGAACTTTATATAGAAATGGCTGATTTTAGGACTGGAGTCGAGAGAGGATGTGATAAGCTTGGACCCTCTTGTGCCAGAAAGCAATGAAGTGTTCAAAGAATGATGAGTAATGGAAAAGGATGCAGAAGCCAGAGGGAAAGGGGTCCCACTTGATAAATAAACCATCAAAGTAAATAATAATACTGATGGACTAGTATCCATAGCCACTGAAAAATGTCCATTGACTTACATAGGTATTCATGAGTACACATTTAACTGAATTAATTGAGTTAATTGAAAGTTTGATGAGGCACAAAATTATATAGTTTCAAAGTGAGTGAGTGAGTGATAGTCATACAGTTGTGTCCGACTCTTTGTGACCCCATGGGCTGTAGCCCGTCAGGCTTCTCTATCCATGGAATTCTCTAGGCAAGAATATTTCTTTATCCAGTTTCAAAGTATCTTCCCACAAAGTTTTGGGAAGTAACTTGCCACAAAGTATTAATGAAAAGAGAAAAAGAATAAAGTGGAGAATCCTGGCTGACATCACTTGGTTCAGATGATCAAAGTGTAAATCATTAAGGAGAGAAATAAAAATTGTGTATCATCTGGTAGGATGCAGTGAGAGGAAGGCAGTGTCTCCTCTGTGATACTCCTGCTGAAGATGTCTACTCTGAATCTAATTGTGTTACAACGTACCTATCCTGGAACTCAGAAGCATCAAGGTCATAAAAGTCAGGAGAGACCAAAGCTGTGAGAGTGAAGAGAATAGACAGACATGGTGGCTCATGTGATCCTGAGCTGAGACCTTTGAATAAAAAGTATATTATAAAGACTTTTATTGAAACTCCAGTAAGGTGTGGGATGAGATCAGAGGGCATAAAATACTAATTTCCTGATTTTCACAGCAGTATTGGGGTGTTTTGAGGTGTGTCCTTTGTAGGAAACATACTGTATTTTTCCCAAGGTCAAGTGGGTCTTTAGGTCAGCAACTTATTCTCCAGTGGGGGAAACACTTTTTATTCTGAACTTA